ATCTGCAAAATTTTTTAGAATTTGAAGTTTTGCACAAAATTGCATCTAATTTCTGTATTTATAGTATCAAATTTGAAAGTTTGCACAGATTTTCACTTGATTTATTATTTAATTTTTTTGCAAATCTGCACAGAACTGCAATAAAAAAAATTTCCTGATAAACATAGCAACCAACTTGAGTCATTGATATTTTACTTTTGGCTTTATTGTTTTTTAACTTGGGATGCAGTAGAATGCAGTAGTTTCAAAAACTAGATGAGAAGTGAAGGTTTTGAAGAGTCAGAAGATGGTTTGGCAACCTAAGCAATTAGTAAGTAAAAGTTGCAAGATTTTGTCACAACTTGTTCTTCTTGCTTTCTATAAGTAAAAAATACTATGTATTTTTAGAACTAATATTCCAAACTCTTTTTTTTTTTATATTTAGGCTATAAGAGTTCATAAATACAAAGTTTTATATAGCAGTGTTTAGAAATATTTGTGTAAGTTAGATTGTGTCATGAAACTTAAAGTATTTGTTATTAAATAAATAATATACTTATATATTTTAAACATTGTGAAATATGAATTAGTTATTATAAATCAAAAATTAATAATTGTAAGACTACAATACGCGCCTTTAGAAAGTATTTAACCAGTCTTTTGAAAGTTTCGTGAGTAATAAAATTTCATCTGGGGTATAGCCAATACTTTATCCAGGAATGATCTACATTTTTTTGGGGTATTTTATCAACCAATCAAAATGAACTTCTACTATGCTGCAATCTGCAGCTACAGAGCCAAATACAAAATTGGTTCTTGCACTGCTATTGTAACTATAGAGCCAAAAACATCAGGTCCTTGCACTGCTTATGCAGTGTGGAGTCTAGCATAACAATAGTTCTACTTGCTTGACTTTGGGTGAGTAAGGGAGGGTAATAAAGCCAGCCTTCACAAGGCAAGCAATAGTGAAGAAAAAGATAATCTTCTTCACCAAAACAACCAGCCTTAAATATCTTATTTGGCTATTATCTCTTACCTAACAATAAGCAATAACAAAAAAATATATTACAACAATAGTCAAAAATAAACACAAAAGAATACATAAAAAATCTATAATTTGACTAGTCATAAAGTCTTCTGATTTTACAATAATGATCACTCTGTCACTTTGTTGACAGGCTTTTTATTATTATTGCTTAATCAGATGACTTTATTTAAACAACTGAACAATTTTATTTAACTAAGCTGAAAAATATATGGGAATAAAAGAGGATCGCTAATTAGCAAATCTTATTTTTCTAGAAAACTGTAACTTCACTGTTTCAACAGACCTCAAATATAACATAACTGCCTTACTATCCAAACTACCTATAGCTCATATTTGTGTTAATGATAAACCTGCTTCTATTGCTGCTATTGCACTATCAATCCTAATGCTATAAGCTGTAAATCTTCTCTAGCTTCTGCATTACATGCTATCCTTTTGACAATATCACCAACAGCTACAACTGTTAATTGCTTTCCAGATTTGACAAAAAAGAGGTTCATTCTCAGTAGTTTTTGGTCTAGTTTGCAAGTATTTTATTAATAATCTAACTGGACAGTAATGACTGTCCATATACTCTATAAGAATAAACTTTTTATTCACAAATTGATCAGTTTTGAAGGAACTTATATACACCTAGTATAATTTTTCTCTGAATTTAATATTCTTAAATTTCAATTTACATAATTCACCAGGACGGCACATTGTTCTCAACCCAAGACAGTATCTCATATCCATAAATCCTTACTTATGCAATGTAGCTTTTTGTTTACAAATTATCTTAAAGCAGAAACTGTTAGAGGGTCACGGGGCCATCTTGGCTCCTTATCTTTTTTATATTCTTTTACTAATGCTTTATAAATTCTTTTAACTCTATAATCCTTAGATGGATCTAAAAAATGATATTCTAAATGCTTCCTTAAAACTGCTACTAGAAAATCTAAATAACTTAAAAAAGAATACACCAAATCTAGCTAAACAAGAAAGAATACAAGTATATCTACCTCTGATAGCAAAGCTTCTAAACCCATAACCTTATAATAATCTTTATATATATTCTATACTTTATCTAAACACTGATTTCAATTCTCTAATACTGACATTCTGCTTAAAGCTTGAGCTCTCATAAGCAACCTACTAACTAACCTACTCTTACTGCTAAGAACTGCCAATTTGGGTTCTTCTATAGCTTCACTTCTCCTGAAAACCCTTTTACAAATGATATCTGAGCTGGAGGAAAAACTAAAAAGCTTACCTGAATGTGCAGTAGTATTGGCTACCATGCTGCTGAGATCTACCTGGGTACAATTATTGTTGCCACTGCTCTCTCTTTTATTATATATTGCAAAACCCGATGAATTAGTGCTATTGGTGGGTATATATAATTGTTCTCTTTTGACCAGTCCTGAGTAAAGCAGTTTACACCTTCTAAATTTGGGCAATAAAACCTGCTGTTGAAACAAGCTAGTTTGCTATTTTGATAGTTTGCTATGCGATTTATTGTATGTAGTCCCACTTCTCCTCTAAAAGATTAAAAATTGTCTAGTTTAAGCACCAATCATCTTTGTCCAAAATTCTGATTAAATTGTCTGCTGGGTTTCTTTCTGAAGATATCCAAAAACTTCATTGATCCAAATATCTCATCTGTCTATCAGAGTCTACAATCTTTTTAGTAAATCCTTTTGCCATAGTAGCCTGCTATCTTTTAAAACTGTTTTAATAGCACCCCAGTTGTCTATATGCAAGTTTATCTATAAACCTTGTAGCAGTCTTGCAAAGAAGTTCAACCCCAAAATTTCTTGTAATTTCCCTATAAGACCTTATTAAACACCAATTTTCAAAAGCTCTGTAAGTTCCAAAAATGACTAACTATCCTATTGTAGATGTGCTGACAAAATCTCGCCTTACTCTTAATGGCTTTTAAGCTGGGCAACCATTTTTCTTTTCTAAATTTTCTGCCACCCAACTTGTATCCTCTTGTGCTTGTTCTGAAAGACTTACAAATGCATCTCATTGCTATGAACTTCTGTTTGCTACATCTATTAATAAATAGAACTCTAGACAACAAACCTTTGCAGGTACAAATACTTTGCTTAACAAATTCAGGATGTAGTGAGATTTTCTGGGTCACGTGAAAATCTGACCTATAATTATGATCGGCCCTCCCCAGTTACACAGATCATAATGGTTTATATAGCTTTTTTTTTGGATTGTTTATATTTGATTTCTTCTTTCTTGTTATGTAGTAATTTTTTTTTTTTGTTTTCGTCAAAGTTTTTTTTTATTTTAGTTGGTACCGTCATTTGGAGTCATCGTATATGTTGGTGCTTTTGTCTCAAAAAGTAGTACTGTATGGCAGTACAAATTTAGTAAGACATATATGATGGTTAGAGTAAGCGATAATATAGTGTTTTTTTTCGGGTTCTGTTAGTCGGTTTAACAAATTTTTTTTTTTAATAATACTTAACTATGTATTCCATATAAGTGATGAGAAGAGAAAACCTGTAAACTATTTCACTCATTATCATTGCGGTGATATCAACCCCTATAAGAACTAGGAGTGCATATCACTGTGATGATAATAAGTGAAATGATTTACAGGTTTTCCCTTTCCGTCACTTATATGGAGTACAATAAACTTCATGTGAACTTTTTTCAAAGCTTTCTTTGTGGACTTTCCTTGGACTTTTGGTATTTGGTGGTGAAGGTAAAACCAAAAGTTTTAGTTTCTTTTGGATTATGTTTTTTAACCTAGCAACTAATTTTCCCAAAATTCTGGATTTTCTTTTTGGCGTTCTTGGTATATTTTGTGCAGACATTCCTCTGAACTTTCACATTTGGCGGTGAAATTCTTGTGGACTTCGATGTTTCTTAGTAAACTTCGTATGGACTTTCTTCAGAACTTTTGAAGAACCTTTGTGGGCTTTTTTTTCAGGACTTTCAGTATTTCTTGGCAAAATTCATGTAAACATTTGGTATTTGGTAATAAAATTTTTATATGTAGACTTTTATTTGGACTTTCTTTTGTTTAGGCCATGCAAAATTGATTTTTCATTTTGCATTACACACTATTCTATTTTTTTAATTTTTTAATTTTTTTTTTTTAGATCCCAATTATGCCAATTTGTCGATTTTTGACATCTATTTTTCCCACTATTTTCATCTGGTATCACCTCAAAGTATCATCCGATGGAGACCTTAATTTCCCGTAATTAACTAACAGAAAAATATAACTGCCAGCCCAATTTTTTGATTTCTTGTTATGCTTTGCAGTGAATTGAATTTAAAAAAAAAATACAAAAAAAAACTCTGTTTATTTGTTCCTAATTTTGAAATTTATATAATGCAAAATGAAAAATCAACATTGTGTGGCCTTATTAATGAACTTCGTGTGGACTTTCTTTTGGACTATTGGAATCTAGTAATAAAATCTTGTGTATTTCTTGTAAACTTTTCGTGCTTCTTGGTGAACTTACTTTTTTTCGATAATTCTTGGTGAACTTACTTTTTTTCAGCATTTCTTAATAAAACTTTTCTTAGAACTTTCGACACTGTCTCTTGGATTTGTCATATATTGGTGTTTTATTTTGAAAGCATATATTAGGCCACCAAATTAAATTTTTTATTTAACATTACACAAAATCTAAAAATTGAGTTGGTAAGTTGTTTTTTTTTTTTTAAATCTACTTTAAATTAATAGAATTATGTTCTTATTTTAAGGTTATACAAAGTTGTTCTTTTTTTTGCATAACAAGGAATTAGAAAATTGGGTTGGCTGTCGTTTTTTTCTGTCGGTTCTATCAGATAATTCCGGAATATTGGGCGTAAAAAAAAAAAAAAAAATTTAGAAAAATTAAAAAAATGGGTCAGCAGGTAATATTAAACGAAAAATTAACTTTGCATAACCTTAGTGACTTTATCTTGTCGATCTCACTATTATTTTCACATTGCCATCACTAGTTACTAATTATTTGTTTTTTTTTATGTTGCTGATTTGTCACTATTAGGTTTGTTTTTTTGTCATTGTTGGTTCTTTCTCTTTAGAATTCTATCATTTGTGGTTATTCTTCTTTACTGGTTTTATAGTTTATTAATATCATGTTATTCTTGGCTTGTATTTGTAAGTGTCTAGTGCCGTAGGTCGTTTGAGCTTGATAGTAGTGTAGGTTTTGTATAAGAAGGGTTAGGGTAATGCAGGATTGATATAAAAGCTAGAAAGTTAGGTTAGGATAGTGTAGAGTTAGTGTATAAGTTAGATAGGTTAGGGTTAAGGTAAGGGTAGTGCGAAATTAGTGTAAGAGTTAGAAGAGTTAGATTAATATGAGTTATAATTAGTAAAATTGTAAGTAGTAATATTTGTAATGCAATATTTTAAAATTGGCACATAATATATTTACTAGAAATTAGTTAGTAAATAATAAAAGTGTTTATATGATATTATTGGCTAATATGTATAATGTGGTCACATGATTCTGAGCTTGATCAGAGGTCAGGGTTTTACATGACCCAGAAAATCTCATCTACATTCTGGTGCTATTTACTTTGCTTAGAGACTGTATTTTTCTTGCCACTGAAGCCAATTTGCGAGCTGAAATCTTCTTTTTCTCTATTAACTCCAACATTAATTCCTTTACTTCTAAAATCTTGTTTTTTGAAACAATAATCAGTGCTTTTACTGTATTTATTATTAAGCCAAAAAACTTTATCTGCTGAGTTAGAATCCACTGACCCTTTGATATTTCTCTTATCAATTCACATTTCTCCAGATCCACCTTTATTACTGTATTCTTATTGTGATTAAGGTTTCTAAAAATGGATGTGCCAACCAAAAATCATCTAAATAATTACCACAAAACAAACCCAGTAACCTCCAATGACCTACTATAGCCTGCATAATCTTGGAAAAAATCCACACAGTCTGTGAGAGACCAAAAGAAGAACTTTGTAATAATACCAATTGCCCAATATTTGAAACCCAAAAAAATGCTATGTATTCTTTCTTATTATCACATAGTGATAACTATTCTTCAGATCCCATGTAATTACATACCACTCCTTTTCTATTGTACGAAGCAAACCACCCAAACCTTCAAAACACACTTTCTTTTCAGGAAGAATTATATTTAAATGCCTCAAGTCTATAACCATTTGCTATTTCTTTGGTCCTTTTTTGTACATTAGGAAAACTGGGCTTACTTTTAGTAAAAATTCTGGTTTTTCTATCTGATTTCTCAAACAATCTATTGCTGCCGATTTTATTAACTGATCTAGTTACTTTTTTACCTATTCCTGTTGTTCTGCTAACAAATTGTACTGATTTAGAACAGGCTTTGCTGCTAATACTAACACACCTCTTGGATATATTAGAACTCTATTTCTCGGCCAATTTATAACTACTGGTGATGGACCAATCTTGTACTGCCAATAATTTAGAGCATCTACTACTTGTATTTTTCCTACAACTGATACTTGATCTTCCAATATATCTTTCTCTACAAGTCCAGCTTGAGTGTAGTCAATCCTGACTTCTAGGCTTACTAGGGGTTCTTATATTTGATGAAGGGGCAATTCGAAATAATGTATCTAATACCTTCGCAGTTATAGCAGGTAACTAACCCTTGTTGACCTAAGAATTTATAGAAATTCTACTCTAAAAGGATAAAATTCTCCTCTTCTTTTTTCTACTTATTTCATAATAATTCCTTTTTGAATCAGATAAAGTATGTGATGCTCTTTTTCTTTTGTGCTGATACTTTCGAGCTTTTTTCTATAACTCTATTCATATGAGCATGAAGATTGCCTTGCTTAGCTAAATAAAGGTATACAGTTCTTGTACTTCTCCATCATCTTATCATTACTCTCTACAATCTGCAATGCAGTATATTATCCTCTGTTATCTGCTAATCTCAGAGTAATAGCCCTTGACTCAACTTCTTCATGCACACCAACAAATTCTTTCCTATTAGACTCTGGCAACAATCTAATTGCCTTATCCAAATATCTACCAATCTTTGCCAAAAATTATACTCATACTGGTTACATAGTCTTGATAATTTAACTTTTGGCCAAGCTTTATTTAACTCATCTCTATCTCAATCTTCCTATACAATACAAAGAAATTCTGATCTATTTTCTTTTAATACTACTTAAAGCAATCAGAAAAACATTAGCAGAAACTGACTTTACTTTCTCTTTTTCTCTAAAACACACTGCAAATTTTTCTCTAATCCTATTATCCGCTTTCTGGGAGTCTTCATCTAAATTATCCTCAAACTCACCACCTCTATCTTCATCCAAGTTCATATCTACTACTTCTCCTGTTCTATCATCAGCATTTCTGGGCCCCAGTTCTTGTCCTCTATTACTTCTCTTGTCATAATAAGTGTATAGTTTTTTATTTAGCTCTTCTTTATTACCCTTATAGAGAGGCTACAAGCTGCGCACAAGTCCTTCAACTTAGTCAAAGTCATCTTTGTCCAACTCCTGGCATATATTGAATGATTTGCAAACATACTTTAGATTACTTATATACGTACAAAAATACTATATACCAAATGTAGCTATTTAACTTTTTTTTTTATTTATTTATTTTATATTTTTCAAAACAAAAAAATATATATATAATATATAATATATAATACAAATAATAGAGCCAGCCTTCACAAGACGAGCGATAGCAAAGAAAAAGATAATCTTCTTCACCAAAACAACTAGCCTTAAATATCTCATTTGGCCATTATTTCTTACCTAACAATAAGCTATAACAAAAAACACATTACAACAATAGTTAAAAATAAACACAAAAGAATATATAAAAAACCTGTAATTTAACTAGTCATAAAGTCATCTGATTTTACAATAATAATCGCCCTGTCACTTCGTTGACAGTCTTTTCACTTCTATATTTTTTATATATACTAAATATTTACTGAAATTATTGCTATTATCTCATTATTTTTCTCATAATTATTATTTTCACACAATTATATGTATATATATATTTTAGACAATTTTTAAAAATAAATAAATGAAAATAATTATTTCTACTAAAAAAGGGAGATAGCTAAAGCTATATACCTACATAATTTTTTTAAAGTTTTGATTAAAATTAGAAATAGAAATAGTTTAATATTAGTTTATAGATAAAATCAGCTCCTCAACATTTTTTGTTAATACTTCAAGACAGGTTTAGACTGTCATTTTTTATATTTTTTATTTTTTAACTTCTTTGGGCTAATTCATATAAACAAACTTTTGCAGTTCCAGTTGGTTGATTTATACAAAAAAGTCACATGGGTACATAGCTTTAAACAATCCCCAAAAAGGATTTTTCAAAAATCAGCATAGTAAACATCAAAAAAGTTAAATGGTCTACATTACATGCGATTGTACTAGTATTAAAAATATTCATATATTGTATAAATACATTGTTCATACTTGTACCTATGTACTATATGTAATATATTGGACAAATATAGATAGAACAGAATATATATATTTAGATATAATGCAGAGTGAATTGCTATAGTGTCATGAAATTTACTGAACTATGTATATTTGTTGACTTTTAAGAACTGGCTTTACCTACTTGGCTAATGTATGATGATTGGATAATCATTTAGGTACTCAATCGATAATAAGCTTAAATAGAACGAAATTGGGAGTTCTGGGACACTTTTTTGGTACCCTGGGTAGTAAAGTATTCATTTTGCTTTTTAGATCGCTCAAGAAGCCTATATTCTATAAAAACTCTTTACTATCTATATAAAAACCTGGGTACCAAAAATTATATAGTTAGAACTCTTTATTTTTATATTTTATAATCAAATTGGATAACGACAAAAAAATGATCACATCGTCATACCAGATATCATATACTATTCACCTATATATAAATCAAGGTACCAA